CCTACTGACTGGATTGACTTTTATTGTGAAAACATTCGTAATTATTTCTACTTCAAACTTTGCTTGACCTAGCTATGGTGTTGACCACAAATGCAAACATCCATTTATTGCACATATAGTTCTCCTTTTCCCCACACTCATAAAAAAAATGCTTTATTTTTAATTTCCGTCCAATCTCCTTTAAAAACCTATTATGGATTTTGCTTTCATCACTGGTTCTTATAGACATTCCAGAACCTAATACCCCTTTCATAAAACAATCTCACTGGATTGCTTCAATTGTTCTTCTGTTCATCTCAGAATTATGCCCTTCAGTTACCAACACACAGCCTTCCGGGTGTAACTTCACAAGCAACCTTATAGAGTCATAAAGATGTACAGCATGAAAACAGACCCTTCAGTCCAACTCATCCATGCCGACCAAATAACCGAAATTAACCTAATCCCATTTGCCAGCTTTTGGCCCATATCTGTCTAAACCCTTCCTATTCATATAACCACCTAGATGACTTTTAAATGTTGTAATTATACTAGCCTCCACCACCTCTTCTGGCAGCTCATTCCATACACGCACCATCCTCTGCATGAAATAGTTGCCCCTCAGGTCCCTTTTAAATCTTTCCTCTCTCACCTTAAAACTATGCCCTCTAGTTTTGCACTCCCTTACCCTGGAAAAATGACCTTGGCTATTCACCTTATCCATGCTCCTCACGATTTTATAAACCTCTATAAAGTCACCTCTCAGGCTCATCGTTCAATATAATTTTAAACATCTCCTTTTAACCTCCTATGTTTTCATGAAAAGAGTTCCAGTTTCATAACTGAAATCTCTCATTCCTGCCACCAAGGTACTGACTCTCTTTCAGAACCATTAAAGAATGGTCTGACGTTGTTCCTAAAGTAGGTAATCCCATTCTAGACACAATTCTCTAACTCTGACCAAATTATTAATTTATGTTAATTAGAATATTATCCCTCTGGTTTTGTGCTCCACATCCATATTTCCAGAGAAAATTAGGATCTCATATTGTCTTTTTTAAAACAGTTTTGATTTGAAAACAAATTAGTCACATCTAAATGTTGTAGAGCAGCAGTTTTTACATTATGTGGGTTGGCATGATTCACTTTTCAAAGGGCCTTTTGTTGACTCACCCAGTGGCTTATCAGATGAGTTAGCACGTGGTGTGATCCACAGATCTGAGGAGCCACAAGTGTAATTCTCGAATAACCTCGCTACGACTGCCTCCAAAATCCCTGTAAGTAAAATTATTTTTAGTTTCTGCTGCTGGTTTCTACCCTATAATCCCAATTGGAAAGCGTACACTTGCAACTACAAATGAGGAGGCGGAGGGGGGTGGGGAACGCATTGATCGGTCAGTTGCTTTTGGTCAAATTGTCAGCTGCTGTTAATGCCTAGGCTTACATACAAAGAATGTTCCCTTAAAGTATTGGTAGGTTACTGATGCCCATAGAGCTGTGCTTTAGTATTGGCACAATTTAAACAAAATTGGAAATGATTTAAAATATATTACAATCAACTTAATGAAATTATTAAAGTAAAAAAGATACATCTGATTGTTAAAGATCATTGTAAGTATTTATGTGTATCCAGAACTAATCTTCACATATAGAGAATACATATATGCACTATCGGAGACCTTTCAGTCCATTATGTCAATGCTGGGTTTTTCAAAAAGCTATTTAAATTAGCTCCATTTCCCCGCTCTTTCCAAAAACTCTACAATTTTTGTTTTGACTATTCAGCTATCTATTCAGTTTCCTGTTCAAATCTGCTACTGAATTTGGTTTTACCTCTCTTTCGGATAGTGCGTTTCGGACCAATGTGACCAAAAGCATAAATGGAATTACTTCTCAGCTCCCCTGGCTTGGTTACCAGCTCTTTTGCCACTACCTAGCTATTTGACCAAGGTTTATTCTCATTTTGATCACTTCTGTAAAAATTTGTGCGGCCTTCTCTGCTCTGAGGACTGCTGTTCTGATTGATGGTTCTGTTTGTTCTTTTAAGGCTGTTCCATCAAGACTGTGGAATATGAGAATTGAAGAGACAAGTGAAAAGGAGACCTGTTCATTAACGATGAATACATTTTAGAAAGCCCATCTGAAAATTTTGCCTTTGTGGACAGGAAACTACAGGGAAAATACTAAGAAGCACTATCGGAGAGGAAGAGTTTGGAAGGAAGACTTGAAGGTAGTCATGGAAATGAGAAACAGATCCAAAGCAGAAGCTAAAGAGTCCCCCAAGTCTGCCACATTGAAAACAAGCACCGCAGCTGGGGATAAGAAGGAATTTTCTGGCAAACAGCCTGAGCCTGCAAATGCTCCTAAGAAACCAGCCGCTGAAGTGACTACAGCCAGTGAACCGAAGCCCACAGGGGACAGCTCAGTACCACCGCCGGCTGGTACCTCAGAACAAAAGAAGGCTGTGGATACCCAGCCGGAAGGCCAGGATAACAAGGAAGATACGTCTGAAGGGCACCCCAGCAATTTTTTTGAAAACATGAAACCATATATACTCGGAGGGGCTGCCATCACGGCCCTTGCAGTACTCGTAGGTGTTGTGTTCATACTACACAAGAAATAAGAAAATGTATAAAATTGTATATCAATGCTGGTTCTTTTCTGCATGTCTGTACATTGAAGGAAATACCTTCCAGCCCCTTTAATTAGTAATTGTACAACTGTGCTTACCACTGTAAGTCTTGGTTTAAAGTGATGGTGTTTAACTCAGTGTCCATACACATTGCAAAACTTATGAATTAACCTGTATATTGTAAAGGTCGATGTTCCCCCAGCCATTCCTCCATCCTCATCTTGTACAGAGCTTATAGCAATGTAAAACGGGCCACACTTGTTCCCATGCTAGCTTAACCCCAGTAAAACTTTTCACAAACTGTAGGTTCCCCCCTATAAGCATTCAGTGTATATCTTATATTCTCAGTAGGAAGCCTTGTAAAAGTAGCCCACTCCCTTGTAGCAAATAAAATGAGATGTATTTCAGCAGCATGTAAACCAAGTATTTTACTTTCCCCGGGGCCCATCTCACATCCACACGTCTCTCTCTCTTGCTACAATCATTGACAGCAAACTGCACCAAAATAAAAACACCTTTAATTGGATCATAACAATGATCAGAGGCACTAAGGTTATGAGAACAAAAAAGAGGAAGGCAAAATAACGAAGTGATAGGATGAAAGCAATAAATCTGAGTTCCACTCCGAACTCCCATTCCTTCTAGAACTCACTAGTAGATTCTCTGTGTGACTTGTTTTTGGGCCCATGAGAGTAGTTAATTCAACTAATGATGTCACATTTATTTTGACTTAAAACAAGCGTATACATGCAATAAAAAGCTAAGTTTAAAAAAAAACACAAATTACTAGTTGGAAGTTGATAGGTAGATTAGCTGTGCACAGTGTGACCCAGGCTGCTATTAATGTACCCATCTCTCCTATGCCCACATACTCTGGACACTGCCTGTTATTTTAAGTGTTGTATCAGCTTTTAAGTGAACAGTAAGGTTGGCTAACAGATGTGCTCGATGTGGACTACATATTCTTTTTGCTGTACATAATAAACGAGTTGCTATTAGTTAGAATCCAATGTCTAGCTATTCTGTTGCTCTAAGGAATGTAATTCAATAAATTAATATTTCCGAAGCTCAGGTGTGATGTATTGGTTTACAAGACCTCAGTGATTTTGAGAAATCACTGTGTGGTTTGATGATGCACAACATATGGGAGAATACATTGCTTCTTTGGGATCATTGACCCTGCTGTGCTTGTGTTGGTGACAATATGCTAACTTAAAACTAAGATATTGGAGACAACTTTCACCTCATTAATCCTGGCAGGAGTAGGCTGCATAATCTATAGAGATAGTAGGAACTGCAGATGCTGGAGAATCTGAGATAACAAGGTGTAGAGCTGGATGAACACAGCAGGCCAAGAAGCATCAGAGGAGCAGGAAGGCTGATGTTTCGGGCCTAGACCCTTCATCAGAAAATAATCTATACCCTGCCCCATTCAGTCTCCATCAAAATGGGCACTTATTTACCATAAACCCAGTGGGTTGAGTTAAACTTATTCCAATTGAATCTTATGCAGAGCTAGAACAGTTTAGGCTTGATTCCAGGCCTGCTCTGATCTCAGCTGGACTGGAGGTCAGGCACCACAGTGAGTAAGGATGGGAATAATGAGTCACAGGATCCTGTGCCCACTAATACAAAATGCATATTGAATGAGTATCATTGATTGATTGAGCAGCACTGCTGTCTCTCAACACCAGGTACCTGGGTTCAGTTCGAGCCTTGGGCGTCTCTCTGTGTGTACAGTATACACATTCTTCTCGTGTCTGCGTGGGTTTCCTCCCACAGTCCAAAGATGTGCAGATTAGGTGCACTGGCCATGCTAATTTGCCCAGACAGTCCAGGGATGTGTAGACTAGGTGGGTTAGCCATGGGAAATTCAGGGTGACAGGGATAGTGTAGGGGATGGGTCTGGGTGAGATGGCCTGCTTCCACACTGTAGGGGTTCTATGATTTTAACTGCCTGCTCAGTATTTAATCTCCATCAGGAAGAATGATCTCCATTACTTCTTCCAAAATGGTCAAATTTCATCTGGAAATGGTAAAGAATTGGCATGCTATTTTCCTGCAACATAGATAATGAAGGCAGCCTGTTACCATGGGGATTACTAGTGTGTTTTTGTAGCCAGTTACTGTCAGTAGGGTGCTATGTCGTGTCAGCCACGGGGAGATACACAACAGCAGAGCTCATCCTAACAATGTAGGGACATATTTCATCATGCACTGCAACTGTGACTCAACACTGAGCCAAGTGAGAGGTTGGGCCTAAGTCCTTCACTTGCTTCCACTATCAGCCCAGCCTCTGCAGATACAGCAACAAATGCTGGAGATACTTGGCAGATCTGTGGAGTGAAAAATACCCGAGTTATCGTTTCATGTCAAGGACCTTGAATCAGCACTGGTAAAAGTTAGAAATGTAATTTATTCTGCACAAGTGCAGATGCAGGGAAAGGGAGTGGGATGAGGGAAAGAATATATAATGGGATGTCAGTGATAGGGTGGAAAGCAGGATAAGTGAAAGGACAAAAGGGGTGATGGTTCAAGCCAAATGGAGTTGAAAATGGGTCAAGTGAAGAAATGAAAGATGGGTCTACATGAGGTGTAACTGGGAAATAGTAAAATTATTACTACAGCTGCTGTATAGAACTTAATGAAAAGATGAGGGGCTCCTCTGCCTTCCATTCCAATGAAATACCGAGGGCACGCCACACAGGTTAGGGTATGATCTTTAGCAGATTTAAGCCAGTGGTCATGCCACAGGCTAGAAGCAGGGAAGGAATGGGTGATCACCAGGCAGTCTAAGGGAAGCAGGTAAGGAATGCAAGATTCCTCTCATTCTGTTGTGCGTGCCAATTAATATTCCATTTTTAGATACCGGTGAGGGTGATGGCTCCTCAGGGATATACAGTGAGAGTATGGGGGGGTTGGGGGCTGGAGCTCAGGAGGAGGAAGAAGGACAGAAGAGCAATAGTGACACAGGATTCTCTAGTCAGAGGATCAGATGGGCATTTCTGTGGTTGCCAACATGATCCAGATAACATGTTGCCTCATTGGTGCCAGGGTAAAGACTGTTGCAGAGCTGCTGTGGAAAATTCTTCTGGGTAATCACCTTGGGGGTCACGATCCACATTGGCACCAGTTACCCCATGACTTGGCTAAGAATGGACATGAGGTCCTGAAAGTTGGAATTGAAGGAGCTCGGTAAAAGATTGCAAGTCCTCAAAAGCCGTGATCTCAGAATTACTCTCAGAGAACTGAGTGATTGAATACTTGGCCGAAAAGCTGACGTAGAATGTTGGGCATTGGGTTTCTGGGGCATTGGGAATGGCTCTTCGAAAGTTGAGACCTGTCCGTGTTGGACAGTCTGCACCCAAGCGGTGGTGGGGGAGGGTGGGGGAGGCGGGGTGGGGGTGGGGGGGTAGCAGCGGGGGAATGGAATCTGGCATAAATGTCTTTGCAGGGAGAATTGTTTGTGCCGTTGGGGAGAGTTTAAATGAAAGTGTTTTGGAGGGGGTGGGAATCTGAGGACAAGTTTAGAACAGAGAATGCAAAGCAGAAATTTAACAAATGACTCTAAAAGACAGAGATTACAAAATGTACAGGGCCGAAAATTGCCAGTATTAATAAGTATATAATATATATATATTATATACACACATAATTGCAAGGAAAATAGTGAGTAAAGCCGATGTGCTGAGGACAACATGATATCATTGCTATAATGGAACCTTGCTTTAAAGAGGGACAAGAATAACAATTCGATATTCCTAAATAAAGAGTTTTCCAACAGGATACAGAAAAGGGGATTAAAAAAAGGTGAGCATGTAGCATGCTGTCATGCAATAAATTACAGCTGTGAGAAGGGATTAAAAATTAATTGAATCATCAAATGAATCAAATAAAGGTTGTGCTCAGAGACAAAAAGAGGGCAAAAAAAGTGAAGGATTACACAATAAATAATAGGGTATTGGGGAATGTAGAGGATGTGAGAGACCTTAGAGTGTAAATCCTAAAAGGTGTTAAAGAAAACATATGGGATGTTTTCCTTCATTAGGTGAGACACTAAATGCAACATAAAGGGATATAACGCTGGAACATAAAGGACATTGGTTAAGTCACTGTTGGAATTACGTGGAGAGTCCTGGTCACCACAATACAGAAGCGTTGTAACTGTCTTAGAGAGAATACAGAGGAGATTTGTAAGAATATTGCCAGGGCTTGAAAACTGCCCCTATCAGGATAGGCTAGGGTTGTTCTTTTTTTCGAACAGGGGAGGTTGAGGAGTGAATTTTAATGAGATGTACAAAATAATGAGGGTCTTAGATGGAGTAAATGCCTGATGACACTAATGGAGAAGCAGAGACATAAGGTGACTGGTCAAAGGATTAAAGGGGACATGAGGAAAGTTTTTTTTTGCTTGGAGGGTGCTGAGTGTCTAGAATTTGCTGCCTAGTTTGGTGTTTGAGGGGGAAACATACTGCTCATTCCTGGTGCTGTGGTTTCCTCCCATAGTCCAAAGATGTGCAGATTCGGTAGATGGTGAAATAACTTGACATTGGCCAGTATCCTGTCACCAGGTCACCCTATATTTATACATGGAGAGTCCTTGGCACTGCTGCAGCTCCCTCAGAGCCAGCTGTCAGAGTGAACACGATGTCTGACACTCCTGTTCTTATCTGTCAGCCAGGGTTCCCTGATTGGGGCTGTTAATCTAGTCGGATTAGGGAACTCATATTCTATGAGGTCCACCTGGCTAACCTCATTACAATCATGACATCCATCCCCCTTTGAGTTCAAGGACACAGGCCAGTTCCTTTTTTTGTATCTCCTCCTGGGGTGTTTCAGCATCGGGTCAGGTTCCTCCCACTCTGCCTCTGATGCGGGCAGTGTGTAATGTACAGTAGCTCACCACTTGCACCCAGAGCGTCTCTTCTTCAGGCGGCAAAGATGTTGAGGAGGTGACATCTGCCGTGTCGATCTCAGATTCTGAGGCATCTGCAACGTTTGATGGATAGGGAGAACCCATGGGTTCCGGAACAGTTGGAAACAGCTGTCAAGGAGCCGGGCACGTTTTGCTTCTGCATCGTTTGTGAGTTTGCAGCTTTCATATTGTCCACATGCTTGTTCAGGAGCGTTACACCTACCTGAACATTATACGTCACTGGACCTAACCTCGCCTTGACTATGCCTCTTACCCATGCAGGGCCATTCCCGTGGTTCCTACTCCAAACTTCGTCCCCTGAAGTAAATTGTCGCTCTTGCTTGGCAGAATCTTGTGTCTGGCATTGGTGTTCCTGATGCCATTTCAACCTTCCCATTCCAGGTCTAGGTACATCAGATCTAACCTGGTGCTGAATCTTCTCCTCTTTAGTAATTCTGCTGGAGCTGTCCCTGTAGTTGCCTGAAGTGAGGTCCTATAATCAAATAGGAACTGGGACAGCTTGGTATGTAGTGAAGCTGTAGGCCGTTTCTTTCAGTCTGCTTTCAAAGTTTGGACTGCTCTTTCTGCCAGACCATTGGATGATGAATGGTACGGAGCTGTCCTCATATGTCGAATACCATTTGACGTTAGGAAATACTGAAATTCCCTGTTGGTAAAAGATGGTTTGTTATCTGCAACCAACACTTCTGGGAATCCATGTATTTCAAAAAGTGCGCACGGCTTTTCTATAATGGCCCCCTGTTTGACGAATGAACTCTATGCACCTCCAACCAGTTGTCGTGGTTGTCTACAATGACTAAGAACATTGAGCCCATGAAAGGACCTGCTTAGTCAATGTGTATCAGAGTCTAGGATTCACCTGGCCATTGTCATGAATGTGGGGGAGATGCTGGTAGTAATTTTTGTCCTTGTTGGCACTCTGGGCATTGCCCCACTAATGTGGCCAAATCTGCACCCAGTCCTGGCCACCACACATAACTTCTCACCAACATCTTCATTTTAGGAACCCAGGGATGACCCTGGCAGAGTTCAACTTTTATCTGGCGATGGCCTTTGCTTGGGACAGTCACTCCTGCTCGTTTAATAATGTATCATTCTCTACTGTGATCTGGTCTCTCTGTGTCCAAAAA